TCTCCGTTAAATTCTGTTGTCTGTCTTATATGATGCACGTACAAGGTATTTATACGAGGGCGGTAAAGAACTAACAATTTCTAGTGCTTCAATTTAAAATAATCTCCATTAAAATTCTGTTGTCTGTCTTATATGAGGCACGTACAAGGTATTTATACGAGGGCAGTAAAGAACTAACGAAGATTTATCTAAATAAGGCTGAAAGAGGCTTACAGCTGAAAAGGAAGAGGAGCAAATCAAGTTCACAGAATCACAAAATGATATGGGGTTGGGAGGGAGATCTGGAGGTCATCAAGTTCAACCCCCCTGCCAAAGCAGGTCCACCCAGAGCAGGTTGCACAGGAACGTGTCCAGGTGGGTTCTGAATGTCTCTGGAGAAGGACAATCCTGGGCAGCCTCTTCCAGGGCTCTGCCACCCTCACAGGAAAGAAGTTCCTCCTCATGTTTAGGTGGAACTTCTTATATTCAAGTTTGTGCCCATTTCCTCTTGTCCTATCCCTGGGCACCACTGAAAAAAGACCAGCCCCATCCCCTTGACACCCTCCCTATAAGTATTTATAAGCATTGATCAGATTCCCCCTCATCTTCTCTTCTCTAGACTAAAATGACCCAACTCCTTGTAAGAGAGATGCTCCAGGCCCCTCATCATCTTTGTGGCCCTTTGCTGTCCCCTCTCCAGCAGTTCCCTGTCATTATTGAACTGGGGAGCCCAAAACTGGACAGAGTGCCCAGTGGGCAGAACTGGGGAGCCCAGAACTGGACACTGTGCCCAGTGGACCGAAGGACAATCCACCACCTCTCTGGGCAGCCTGTGCCAGGGCTCTGCCACCCTCAAAGTGAAGAAGTTCCTCCTCAGGTTTAGGTGGAACTTCTTACATTCAAGTTTGTGCCCGTTTCCTCTTGTCCTGTCCCTGGGCACCAATGAAAAAAGACTGGTCCCATCCTCTTGACACCCTTCCTTTAAGTATTTATAAGCATTGATCAGATCCCCCCTCGGTCTTCTCTTCTCCAGACTAAACAGACCCAAGTCCCTCAGCCTCTCCTCATAAGGGAGATGCTCCAGGTCCGTCATCATCTTTGTAGCCCTCTGCTGTACCCTTTCCAGCAGTTCCCTGTCATTATTGAACTGGGGAGCCCAAAACTGGACAGAGTGCCCAGTGGGCAGAGTAGAGGGACCTCACCAGGGCAGTGTAGAGGGGGAGGATGACCTCTCTTGACTTGCTGGTCACACTCTTTCTGATGCACCCCAGGATGCCACTGCTTGTACAAACTAGTCGTTTGTACCAGATTTACTACTTGGTGCATCAACATCAACGTCTTCAATATCGTGTTGTGATTCTGTGTTACACTTTTGGGCTTTGTTTATAGTCTTGCCAGCCCTTCTCTGTTTCCACAGTTCTGGTTCACCACCCACAAACACTACAAACATACTGTTGCCCAGCAAGATTACAGCACAATTTCAGCCTTTGGAATCACACCATTGCTCTCCCAGGGTTTGCCCGGGCCACAGTCTCTGCAGTCCCAGCCCAGTGAGGGACTTCGTTTGGTGGTGGAGCTAATTGCATCACCAGAAGTACGCAAAGCAGATCTTGACCTTCTCTTCTTTTCCTTCGAGGTTTCCGAGGATCCATTTCACTGCAGAAGGCAGGCATTCTTCCTCCAAGAACACTGATTTCAAATGGTGCTAGACAATGAATAGTTAAATCTAAACCACCATATGAAACCAGCTTCCTGAGGGAGCTTGTTTCTAACCGGGATGATATTCCTGTAACAATAAAATGGAAATGCCACAGAAGAACACCTACCCATGCTGGGGTTTTATCTTTTTTCTTCTCTTATTAAATAGTCGATGCTTTTTTCTTATTCTTACCCTTCATTTTGGTTTGAGTCACCAAATGTTTTCTGTTACAGTGCTACCAAAAGAAAGAGAATTGCTTCCAGCAGCATGGCTCTGAAGAAATCTTCTTAGTCACGCTTGGACACCACCTATGAGGGTTTAACCAGGGAAGAAGGACCTCCCATCCTACTTTTGTTACTGTCTTCCATTAACACATTGCGGGCGCTGAGGGCTGCCCACAGCGCAGCTCCCCCCAAACAAATCACTGCTGCAAACTCCCTCTAGTGACAGCAAAACAACCTGGGAAAGGGTTCCTGCAAGATGTTCATGGATCTTACTTTTAACGGCGGCGGCAGCAGAGGTACCGGCGTGTGACAGAAGCTACACTTTAATGCCAAAACGGTGGAATATTCGTTCAAAAGGTCACGCAGAGAGTCTGCAAACCAGCCCTCCTGTCTGCCAGCTCTCGCCGAGGTTGGCATTTGCAGTGTTAAGAGAAAAGGTGTGTGCTCAAACCTAAACGTTAAGGATTGCATTAATTACGGGCTATTCAGATCTGGCACTTACCACCTGGTCCCAGCGCTACTTCTAAGAAGTCTGACACAGGGTTTTTTCCTGGAAGTCTGCTACTGAAGTGTGTTCTAGACAATTTATTCCCTTCAAACAGATGTATTTTTTTTTATTTTATTTTTTTTTTATAACCTGTCTGCAGCTTCTCATCTCAGCTGGCAGGGCAAACGCAGCCGAATGGCATTGTCAAGCAAGTTGGGAGTCTTTGCACAGATTAAAAGGCTCAGGCGTGCTCAGGGTGAATATTCCGGGGAGTATTTGATAGGTAGAGAGCAGCCTCAAAGCAAAAAAAAAAAAAAAACCCAAATTACTAGCAGTGTACAATGAAAAACTAGTTATATAAAATAATGCTTAGGTTTTATATTCAATGCAAAATGAAGCAGGTAGAAACAGCTCCTTAAAGTATTTTTGCAGGGCCTTTTTTTTTTTTTTTTTTTAAAACAAAACAACCAAACGGAGTAGGCTGGGTGCAAAAAAAAAAAAAAACCCAAATTACCTGAAGCAGTAACACTGTCACAACAGGCACAGCGTGTTTCCATGGCAGGGCAGAGGGGAGGCACAATGAGACAGCGTCCCCTGCGCGGATGTAAAACAACATATTTTGTTTTTTTTAAAAAGAAAACAACCAAACGGAGTAGGCTGGGCAGTTGCTTCAGTTACTGGAAGAGCTCTAACTATGCCAGGCCACATTAGCCTTGGATTTATTACACAGCTTTTCTGTCCAGAAAGTGTCTGCGTGGAGCGGAGCCGTCGGGAAGCAGCTTGGCCGGGAGCAGCAGGACTGTGGAAGGCTCTGCCCCGAGCACACAGCTGCCTTTATTACACAGCTTTTCTGTCCAGAAAGTGTCTGCGTGGAGCGGAGCCGTCGGGAAGCAGCTTGGCCGGGAGCAGCAGGACTGTGGAAGGCTCTGCCCCGAGCACACAGCTGCTTGGGAACCTTTCACACAGGAGTAAGAAAGGCCAAGGCATTAACACGGTTAAAATAAAGCAGTTTTGAAGCGTGGGCAGGACCAAACTGTTCCCTCAAGGCATGCAAAAGCCTCACGCTTTGCCTTGAGGGAGCGTAATTCAAGAAGAGTGAAGCATCTTCTTCTCTCCTGCAGCGTAACGGACCCGGTGGGCACTGTACCTGCCTCTGGAAAGTCCTGAGAAAGCCCACTGTGGTCAACTACGACCATCACCCAAGATGAACCCATCTGTGGTCTCCTAAGGACAGCCAAATATCCTCAAACTCCTTCTCTTCAGGGGGTAGGAAACCACGCCAAAAACTTAACTGATTAATTACATCTGTTCCTAAGGTTTAATCACCTCCAGGGATGCATCCCTCTCTTCATTTACCAGAACGACAACCAAACCGACTTAGTTCAGACTGAAAAAACCAACTTCTCGATGGCTGAAGATACGAGGAGAGGAATCCCAAATTAGTGTGGACAGTTCCCACGAGGGCGTCTGTCAACAGCGTCGCTAACGCGCTCCTCTCCAAGAAAATCTTCATGAGAAAGTCCATCTGGGAAACAAAATAAGCTGTAACACTTCACAACTGTCATCTTCCCTGGACAAGGCAAGGCTAAATCGTGCTGTAGCATCTTTTCCCATAGTTGCACTGGTGACATATATGGAATTTGAAGCCAAGGTCCAGTTGCCTGGCTCTGCCTTTACTGGTGGCCCTAGAAGGGGTGCAGACCCCAACATCTCCCCATCTGACTATCCGGAGAGGGAATTCTTCCTTTTAATATCATTTGCACTTTGGAGAAAGCATCTTTCAAAACTTGTAATAACTCTGTGTGTTTCTAGAAGATGGATAATGAGAAACACTCCCGCATTAGGGCTGTAAACTGTCATTTCTAAATTGGAAAAAAAAGCAAATGAGCTGCAGATAGAGAGCTATTGTACTTCTCCAAGATGCCTACTTCTAATTAGGTCCTGTAAGTTTTAAAACATGCTCAGACCTCGGGACTATTCTGTCCTTCCCAGATTTAATGATGAGAAAGGCTGAGAGCAATTGTCTGGTTGAACTGGAAAGGAAGAGGAGGAGCAGAGGAGATGACGTCTTTACGTTTAGGCATCTATTCAGCAGAAAAGCAAGAGCTTGGGAAATAAGGAAGAGCAAACCCAGAATTCATAGACTTAGATAGAAATTTTAGATGGAAGAGTTTCTGATAACATTTTGTTCCCATAGTTACAAACCAACACTGTTCTGTAACCTTACAAAGAAAATTATGGGAATGACATGGAATCACAGAACTGTTGGAGTTGGAATGGACCTTCTAGAGATCATCTAGATCAGGAAGAAATTTTTTACTATGAGGGTGGTGAGACACTGGAACAGGTTGCCCAGGGAAGTTGTGGCTGCCCCATCCCTGGAGGGGTTCAAGGCCAGGCTGGATGTGGCCTTGAGCAACCTGCTCTGGTGGGAGGTGTCCCTGCCCATGGCAGGGGTGTTGGAACTGGATGATCTTTGAGGTCCCTTCCAACCCAAACCATTCTGTGATTCTATCTAGTCCAACACCCCTGCCAAAGCAGGATTGCCCAGAGCACATCACTCAGGACAGCATCCAGGTGGGTCACACCGGCGACTTAAGACCTTAAATAATTCATAATTCACCTCTTTTTATTTAACATCGGTGAGATTATTTACAAGAGTAAAGTTTTGGCTGCCATTAAACCACTGCGGGATTAGAGAACGATGGCTTGGTTTTGCTGTTGATTAAATTCTAGTGATTTGCAGGGGGTTTAGGTGCATTCAGACACCTCTCAGGTAACCCCCCCCCTCTCTCCCAGTGATGAATTCCTGTGGTTAATAACGCGTGAACCACGATGCCACCTTTGTCTGCAAGTGACAACTGTGGGCGTTTCACCGCATGAATCCAGGGATAATCACAGAGAACATCTCCTGGGAGCACCTTGGAAAGAATTCCAGCTGGAATAACGATCCCGTACAGGAAAGTTGTAGAAAAAAGTAAGTCTTCTTGCTTCCTTTCCACGCTCTGCCATAACAGGAGCCGTGTAAATGGATTTAGGTGGAGCTTTGCTTCTGACAGCTTTATGATCCATCCCTGACAGCCTGAAAGCCCGGAGTCAGCCTGTAATTTGCAGACAATGGCCTTTGAGTAAGTTCCCTCCAAACAAACCCCTCGACTTATTGTAACTTCTTAAAATTCCCGTTTTTTAATAAAACGTGGAGCCCAGGAGAGATGAGAGATTGACAAAGGCTCTGCTCACGGCAGGGCTAGAGCAGGGGGAGCAACTGTGAGAACTTCCTACCTAACACTTGGCCGTGTGTCTCATTTATGAGCTGTTGCAGATACCCCACGGCACGAGGAGGACCAAGGAACCATTAAGAAATTGTCTGTCAGCTGAAAAACCAATTAATACTGACTGCAGCGAGGAAGAACTGCCTACCAAGATAGAAATTGAGACTGTGAAGTCAGTTACAGATGTCTTTAAGCGATGTTTTTTTTTGGGGGGGGGCATTTTAAGCTTGAACTTAAACCACAGCTATTGGGGAAAAGCTGCTTCATCTTTCCTTTTTCTGCGCCATCAATCCCCCAGCGTTTTCACCACCAGCTTAATGAATTCCAACTATCAAGGGAGCTCATCCGCTATGTAATTTGTCTTTCTTTCTTTTTTTTTTTTTTTGTTCCCTTCACTAAACAAGCAGGAAAAATGTTTTTAATTTGCAAGGCTGAATAAATACCTACTGTGTTTGCCAAGTCTTTATTGACATTCACGGCCGTCCACAAAGCTGACTGACTTCTCACAGACAGGGTTTATCTCCTCAAGAAAAAAAAAAAAACAAACAAAAAACCAACCTGCCCAAGCAAGAAGATGTTAGTCTTTCTTAATAAAATAAAATGAAAAGCAGCAGTTCAATAAATAATACTGTGGCTAGAGAAACTCCCTTCATCCAGGATATGGTCCCAGAGCAGATTTTTTGCTGACAGCAAGACCATTTAACATTGGGACACCCTCCAGTGCTTGCCACTGCCTCTGACACCACAGTTTGTGCCACCCCCAGTTGTGTCCATACAGCTGCCCGCGGGCCATGCTATAAACAAGTTCACTCAAATGATTCTAATTCAAAGAAAAAATAAAAAAACCCACAAAAACCTGTTTTTTTTTGACTCGAGATATTTTCAGTCATCTGGTTTTCCACCCGGTCAGGAGAGAGATGGCACCACGTCGCTGCTGAGCTGGAAATGAAGGGCTGGGGGTTGGCAGAAAGTTATTAAGCTGGCACTAGCAAAAGACATGAACTGTGGAATTACACCTCGGATAGCATCAAATCTCATCTCCCTCGCTCAGCTGGTCGTGAGGAGTCGAGACGAGTTTCAGCCTGCAATGCAGCACAGTTCTTGAACTTTCACAAGAAAATCAATACGCCAAACTTTGAGATTCTTACTCGAGTTTTAGGTTTTTATAAAAGGTCCAGTTTTCCCCGTGGCTTGAATTTTTCCATTTAAATTTCTCCCGCTGAACAATTTTATCTTAAAATTGGCAATGTGCAAAAAAACTAAGGCTCTGCAGTTGGAATTGAATATGAACAGAAGGTCTGCGCTGGCCTTGACATAAAGAGGTGAGAAGGAAAAGCATTTTGGTCAAGTGGAGAAGGAAATTCATGACATGACAGAATCACAGAATCATCGAATCACATGGGGTTGGAAGGGACCTCTGGAGATCATCTAAACCAACCTCCTTGCTAAAGCAGGTCCACCCAGAGCAGGTTGCACAGGAAGGTGTCCAGGTGGGTTTTGAATGTCTCCAGAGAAGGAGACTCCACCACCTCCCTGGGCAGCCTGTTCCAGGGCTCTGCCACAAACCACTACTGTCAAAATTCCCTACACTGATGACAGCACTTCACTTTCCTCCCTTTGCTTTGGTGAGCTGTACTGAAAAGAGCTACCAAGACCTGGGGAACGTTCCTCTGGAACAAGCAAAGAGCCCTTGAATAAAAACCATTATTTCCCATTGGAGAAACATCCGTACCTGTTACGAACGCATTTCAATTTCGAAAGCTTCTCAAAGCTTCTAATGGGTAAGGTCTGCAAGGTATTTACAACATCAGCTGATGCCAAGGAGGGACACAGGATGTGCTGTACCTCAGAAAAACCAGCCTCCACCTTGTACCATTTCTCCGTGCATTTCTGGAACAATTCATTACTGACAGGTTTGGCCTCAGAATCTGGAAGGAAAGAAATACCATAAGCTATTTCAATTAGTCTTCTCCTTTGTGTTGTTCCTCAAAGACATAAATTAAAATGCAACCTCATAATTGTTCTTCTCTTCCTCCTGCCTCGTATAGAGGCTTTTAGCCAAGTTACTGCTCCTCAAAATCTGAACTTGAGTGTATTTACAGTCAAAACAGGCAATCGAGGTTTACCACTAACCCCATCGCTGGAATACGGGTACTGTGTTCCCTATGGAAGTAGGACTTTTCGATCAGAGCTTCAAAATTCATTGAAAGATATGGTTGTCTCCGTTTCATATAGAAGGATGAATGCAGACACTGCTTAGAATCATAGAATGGTTTGGGTGGGAAGGGATCTTAAAGATCATCCGGTTCCAACCCCCCTGCCCTGGGCAGGGACACCTCCCACCAGAGCAGGTTGCTCAAAGCCCCATCCAGCCTGGCCTTGAACCCCTCCAGGGATGGGGCAGCCATAGCTTCCCTGGGCAATCTGTTCCAGCTCCTTGTAAGATACCTCTAAATTGGTCTAGAAACCTCTCGACAGATTACATTGAGCCCCAACCCACCCACCCACTGACCCCACAGCAGTGGTGTATCACCAACACCACGGGGAATTAATTCTTTGTGGAGAAAGGATCTGTAAATAGCAGGTGCCAGAGAATCACCCACTGCATAGAGCAACATCCTTGATGCCTCAGTTGTCTCGGATTTACTCCAAACTCCGTTTTAAAACCTTTTCAGGCTGATTTGGGGGGATTATTAGGAAACAGGAATCCTAAAAATACAAACGCAGGCTTATCAAGCCGAGGGAAAAACACTGAGATGTTTTTGTGACAAAGGCTTTAGCGTATGAATTATGCATTACCCAAAACTGACTTCGATTCGTATGGGAGGAGGGAGATTTCTGTGCATCCAAATTCAAGCACAACGGGCACAAAGCTGCACTGCAGCGAATTCCATGCAGTCCTGTACCAACACTGGCAATTCGAGTATCTCACTCTTTTTATCTCCTGAGGATTGTTTTGCCTTATTTTGCGAGAATTTGAGGCAGAAAACAGGGAAATAACCTGTTAACCCCTTGAAATCCGTCACCACCGAATTCAGGGAGGGCTACTGAAATGGTGGGGAAGCAGGAATAGTCTGGCTCCAGCCTCGCCACTCTATTTCTGTCCCTGTTCCCATCTCCTCCCCATCACCATAGCAGCTTGACTGCTCTCCTGGCAAACAGCAAACTTTGGGGCAACAGAGGCAGGAATATCGTTTGGTTGGGTTTTTTTTTTCCAAGGATATGACGATTTGCTGGATAAAAGGGGCAGATGCTGGTACTTCAGGAATCATACAGGACAATCGTAAGGGACAAACATAAGGAACAACCCTCTGCACCAGCACAGGTTGGAGGCTGACTTGCTAAAGAGCACCTCTGAGGAGAAAGACCTAGGAGTTCTGGTGGACAACAGGATGACCATGAGCCAACAATGTGTCCTTGTGGCCAAGAAGGCCAACAGCATCCTGGCATACATCAAGAAGAGTGTGGTCAGCAGGTCGAGAGAGGTCATCCTGCCCCTCTGCTCTGCCCTGGGGAGGCCCCATCTGGAGCACTGTGTCCAGTTCTGGGTTCCCCAGTTCAAGAAGGACAGGGAACTGCTGGAGAGGGTACAGCAGAGGACCACAAAGATGATGAGGGGCCTGGAGCATCTCTCTTACGAGGAGCTGGGTCTTTTTAGTCTGGAGAAGAGAAGATGAGGGGGAATCTGATGAATGCTCATAAATACTTAAAGGGAGGGTGTCAACGGGACAGGGCTGGTCTTTTTTCAGTGGTGCCCAGGGACAGGACAAGAGGAAATGGGCACAAACTTGAATATAAGAAGTTCCCCCTAAACATGAGGAGGAACTTCTTTCCTGTGAGGGTGGCAGAGCCCTGGAAGAGGCTGCCCAGGGAGGTGGTGGAGTCTCCTTCTCTGGAGACATTCAAAACCCATCTGGACACCTTCCTGTGCAACCTGCTCTGGGTGGACCTGCTTTGGCAGGAGGGTTGGACTTAGATGATCTCCAGAGGTCCCTTCCAACCCCATGGGATTCTGTGATTCTGATTCTGTGATCCAACATAACTCCTTGTTGTTTTCCAAGGTATGTTAACAAAGGTATGTTAACGAAGTAGCCACCCACAACAAAACTCACTGTAGTTTGTTCACATCTTTACATTATAAAACTTTTTTTTTTTTTTTTCATTCCCACCACTGTCTTATAGATACACAGAAATATCTCATCAGGATCTGGGAGAAAACCGATGATCATTGGGGGGGGGGGATAAAGATTTCTTCAGCTTAATATACTACTTCTGATTTAAAACTTTTGGAATCTGAAGAGCGATGAGCATCATTTTTAGAAACCACCCTGGCACCGTTGCCGTTATATAAAAGTTTCAATAGAAGCGCTAATCCCAGCGCTCAACAGAAATGCCCCTGTCATGAAGCACTCAAAAACTACACCTACTGTTTGATATTCTCGTGCCGCGCATTGTATCGCAGCCACTTACGTCTCTACAAAGTAGAGCTCTTAAAACCAGGCGCCTGTAACTCTTTTGCCCCCCTCTGCTTATCTTCAGCACTGGATTCACTTAGGCTGCTACATAAACGATGGCGTGTTTGTCTGTTAAAAAGGATGAAAGGTGACCTGGAAAGAACTGCTCTTACGTTATCTTTTAAAAATAACAAGAATCGCGCATGAAAATGTTTATTTTTCTTTTTTTTTTTTTCTTTCTGGTATAACACAAATTCAAATTCTGACTACTTTGAAAGACTCCGCGATTACTGCGGAGGAAGTGAAATTAAAATCATCACATAGGAAAAAAAAAAAAAAAAGGTAGCAATTAAGAGGGATAGGAAATTCAATCAGCTCCACGTGTGATTGTTTTTAATCCCCACTGAATTCCCACGCCTGACAAACAGGCTGCAGAGGCTCTTTTAGCTGAAGGCAAATATTCTTTACTCCTCCCCATCACGTATAACGCTGCAAAAAAACCTCCAAACCCAAGCCAAAAACATTTGCAGAGAAAAACACGCCACCTTTGAACCTTTCTTTGTTATGGTGAAGAAGCAGAGAATTAGAAATGGAATTTTTAAAAGATACCCCCTGCCTACCCTAGTGGCACTGCACAGCGACAAACGTAATAGATGCCAGGTGTATTTACACTACGTACTTCACATCGGGACACATAACCAATGCAGAGAGCATATTTCATCAATCAGTTTACAGAAATGATTTACCTTTCAGTTTCCACGTGTTTATAAATAGGTTTTCCCTCAAACAACGTGTTCTTCCTTCGGCACCCGCGCGGCACTCTCAGGAGATCAGCCCCTGGAATTTATAAAATGGTTTATTTAAATGCATGTTTGTGTTTCCCCTTTAGCTTCACCTTATAAAAGCAGAAAAAGGTCACACGCTTCCAGTCAAATTTTACCATTCTGGTATCATTTCAGATCACCTTGTTTTATTATGGAATGGAAGAGTGTTACAGAAATGCAGCCAGTCGACATTTGTCACCGCTGCACAGGAGGCCACGGCTACAGCCCCCCTGGGTTTGTGTCCCACTCCGTTTCTCCACCTTTTTGGCTGGGCCAAGAGATGTCACCTCGTCAAAAACCTTGTTTCTCCTGGCTGTGAATAGATAGGGATGACAGATTTACCTAAAGATTTTAGGGACTGACCAACGGCCAGTAAGTCACGGGAGAGACTGGAAGAGCCAGGAGCACTTCACCACTGCATGGTGAAGATGACCATGGACAAGGATGGTTCTGTGTCACAGAATCATAGAATCGTCTAGGTTGGAAGGGACCTTAAAGATCATCTAGTCCAACCATCAACCTAACTTTGACAAAAAATAAATAAGAAATAAGCAGTCAGCCCTGGAATTGATTACATCCACCCAACGATGCCCAGTGGTGAACATTTACTGATCCTTACTCTTGAACCCCTTATTACTGCTCACTTCATGCATTTGACTACTGTTACAGGACAAAATGCATCATCAGGATACAACCAGACACTGTGCTTCAATAATAAACCCCGATGCCAGCATACACCACGGCAATTATAGCACTAATTAGAGGAACAACACTGTGCTCCACATATTAAACACAGCCAAGCAAAAGATGGGGAAAAGTGGCTGTTGGATTTTGCAAATAATTTTGTTTTGCAGAGTAGTTTTTGCTTTAATCTACTACAGCTATTGAATAACCTGAGCTGCATTGGAAAAATATGTTCCTATCAGAAAAACGTAACGTTCATAAAGCCATTTTGCTGCAACTTACTGCTGATCTTATTAGTCTCCTCCCTGTAATTGGCTCCATCTTTTGAAGCTACACGTGAGGTCTCTATCTCATAATTTGAGCATTAAAACAAGGAAGGGTGGAGTTCTGTTTCTAGCCTGATTTTCTCTGGGACCTGAGAAACCGTGTAGAATTTAAAACTATATAGATATTCACCTTCCCAGGCATTTCCAAGGGAGGGAATGTAAAGCTACTGCAGCAGGGTAGAGTCCTTGTCATGGACCAAAGAGACACCAATTTTGGAGCTTCATATAAAAAAAAAGAATAAAAAGTATAAAAAAGAATAAAAGAAAAAAGAACAAAAGAGAGATTTGGTTTCTAGTTTACTGCCCGAGGCAAGGAAGAGTGGAGAGACATAAAGAAAGAGGAAGCATAAGGAATAAAGAGACCATAAAACCTGATACAAAGGCCTATCTACTCCAGGAATTACAGGAAGGTATAGCTTTAAAATAGAGGCTTAAATAAAAAGATATTTTTGTGGCCTTTACAGAGGGCTGGCATGGGAGAAAGCTCTTTTCTGTTGAACCCACGCTGAGCTGCGGTGATTGCTGTCAATTCACACGCGCACAAGGCGGGAGAGAAAGAAAATGATGCACAGAGGGGCAGACCTGGAACCTGAGTGCACAGAGGCAGCAGTCAAATCCACGCTCACAGAGGAAATCTGGAGGAACCAGGACACAGAAAGCACTAAGAGAGGATGTCGTCGTGTGAAAGACCTTTTGACAAGTGCATTAGAGAGTCCGATTAACAGACATCCCAGAAAAACCCAAACAACAGAATTATGGACACTCAGAATGAAAACTACGAGCTTGACAACGTGACTGATGAGAGTTTGCCCAGCGGAAAAAATGACTAAGGACGAAGCCATGGTGCTAATATTTGGCTAAGAAAAAAGCAACTAGAAACTTTTCAAGATTTCAAACGAGTTAAAGAGGCAGAAGTCAGCCTGGAAGTGGTGTAGGACGGAATCGCTGCGGAGAACCCCGAATTGCAAATGAATGGTGTAACTTCCCACTGCTAAAAACGTGGCCATTGCTAGACTAAGGAAAACCAAAACCAAAGAAACCCTACTGACTTAGTGAAGAAAAGAGTTCGCTCTTTATTCTGCCAGCATTCGAGTTCTCCTATTTGTAACAGACATGGCTAAATTAATTCCTCAATTAGCAAATGAGTTCAGTTAGTTCACAGCATGTAATTCATTTATTCTACTCTGTTCACAGGCACATCCTAGTGTCATTTTGTAATATTTCATAAATTCAATTTAATTTATTAGACACGACGAGGAAAGGGGAACTCGAGGAGAAAACTGTAACAAAACCAGATGCAAAACTGACTGAGATAACACACAACATAAATAACAGTAAGAAGCTGCCAGCGAGGTCCGGCCTCTGCTCAGCGCCGCTGACCGTTCTGCATCAACAATTTCATGATTAAAACAGGTCTGAGAGGACAGGACAGATAGTGACAGGACCAGGGGTAATGGTTTTAAATTGGAAGAGAGGAGATTTAGATGAGATATTAGAATTGGGGGTGCTCAGCCTGGAGAAGAGAAGGCTCCAGGGAGACCTTAGAGCCCCTTCCAGTCCTTAAAGGCGCTCCTGGAAAGCTGGGGAGGGACTCTTGGTCAGGGAGTGGAGTGACAGGAAGAGGGGGAACGGTTTTGAAGTGAAAGAGGGGAGATTTAGATTAAAGATTAGGAAGAACTTCTTTGCTGTGAGGGTGGTGGGACACTGGCCCAGGTTGCCCAGAGAAGCTGTGGCTGCCCCATCCCTGGAGGGGTTCAAGGCCAGACTGGATGGGGCTTGGAGCAACCTGGTCTGGTGGGAGGTGTCCCTGCCCAGGGCAGGGGGGTTGGAACCAGATGATCTTTAAGGTCCCTTCCAACTCTTAACCATTCTATGATCCTATTCCGGATTAAAGTTTGTGTAAGGGGCAAAAAAAAAAAGGAATAATTAAAAGAATTTTGGAAGTGCTTACAAGGATAGTAAGAGAGAGAAGACAAAGTTGATTCAGAGTACAGTATAGCACTGAAATAAAACAAGGAACGACTATAATTATGTTTGAGGTAATTTAAGACAAATTGTAGCAGAACTGTTAAAGTGGCTTGGTAATTCTGTTACTAATCATTACATCACACCTTACAGACTCCTCAAGGGTTTCCCTCCGAACAGCCCCTGCTTTATCTGCATTTTTTTTTTGCTAAAGGAATTACAGTAACTCATGCTACGAGGGAGTAATTGTGTCAGGGGGTTGGTGAGGAATATATTCCCTTCCATTTCCAGACTGGAACAGTCCGCTCTTCCCTGTACTCTCTAAAGCATCAAACTGAAGCATTTCAGCTGTTTCATCCTGCTTTCGAGGGCTATAAAAGTTATACTAGGTTTCCAGTTAAGATGAGGACAATGTGTATCCTGGATGGATCTGACAGGAAAGGTTAAAAAACACCTAAAATAACTGAAGTGAATATGCAAACTGCGCTGTACAGACCTATAAAATAGCGCGGGCACACAAAGCAGGAAGTCAGAAGTCTGACAGATATGGAAATACAGCTTATGAAACTGTGAAAATTCACTTAAAGCTGTAAAATTACATCCACGCAACAAATACCTCTTTAACTTCTCGTGATGTGTATCTCCCCCACTTCGAGGGTCAATATTACTAATATATTGCCTTGTACCACTGCCCACGAGTAAGAAAACCTTTCTTTAAATCTCATCTCTCCAGGAGGGGTCCAGTACCCCACTCCTGATATTTTCGGATGTAAGGGAATGGAGGAGAAGGACTGTCTGCAACGCCCACATCAAACCCATCTTTTTTATTCCCCAGATCCACAGCACGGCATCCTAAAAGAGAGATGCTGAGCGTATCTCCTGCATCCCTCCTCTGAGCCCCCACCAGTGCTCTCTGCTCTTTGAAACACCCCGTGGAGGAGATCTCCAACACACCATGAGTCCTGCACAACTCCGCCTCCGACCCTTCCTGTTGGGGACTCCGGAGCGATGGGCTTTATCTCATTAACGCAGTGGTTTTTTAGGAAACTACTTCTTCCTGCCAGTTTTTTAAACCCAGAGGAATTTTCTAGACGTGCAGTGACAGTGCATGAGTAATAGCTCCCTCATTAAACTACCAGGGAGTCATAAAACAAAACAAATTGTTCAGCTTCCCAGTGTTTTTCCGATTTGCTTTCCCTTTCCAAGCCCTGTAGTGCTCACAAACATCCAAACTATCCGAGTGACGTCAGTCATAGTCAGGATCCTTAAAGGAAACAACATGTCTTTAAGCATGTTGCTCAACCCTCTGGTATTCTTGCAGTCATTTATTTTCGCCCCAGGGCAGTTTCAAGTCGTTTTATTTTATTTTATTATTTTTTTTTAAAATCAAGAGTTGTCTGTGCCCATGTCAAAGGTGTGCCCCCAAAGTCCGTCACCAAAAGCATGTCTGGAGCGAGAGAAGGACGTGCCCATGTCAAAGGTGTGCCCCCAAAGTCTGTCACCAAAAGCATGTCTGGAGCGAGAGGAGGTCTCTTCTCACAGGTAAAATTAGTGACAGAACGAGAGGGAATGGCTTCAAGCTCCAACAGGGTAGGTTTAGACTGAACATTAGGAAAGAATTTTTCACCAAAAGAGTGATAGGGCATTGGAACAGGCTGCCCAGGGAGGTGGTGGAGTCACCATCCCTGGCTGTGTTTAAGGGCCGTTTAGATGCAGTGCTAAGGGACATGGTGTAGGGGAGGACTTTGTAGAGTAGGGGAGATGGTTGGACTCGATGATCCCAAGGGTCTCTTCCAACCTGGACGATTCTATGATTCTAAGGTTTGCTGCTGCCTGTCAGCCCTTGGGATGTCTCTTGTCTTTGTGCCAAACGCTCTGGGTGCCCACGGCCGAGAAGCACCTTAGTAACCCTTCCAGTCCCCAAACGGGATACAAAAAAGCTGGGGAGGGACTCTTGGTCAGGGAGTGGAGTGATAGGAAGAGGGGGAACGTTTTTAAACTGAAAGAGGGGAGATTTAGATGAAAGATTAGGAAGAAA